TTCAAAATCCGTCGATTACATCACCAGCAGCACCAGTGAATTCTTGTATGATCCGCAGGCCCAAATTACTTTTGATTCCTTGTACAAACGATACGAGGACTTGTTATCTGTCGATCTGGCTGCCCAGGAAGACGCACGGAAAGTAGGGCTCCTGCTCCGTAAACTGGGCTATGCTACACACGAAACTATTTCAACTTCATTCTACCCAAGAATCCACGAGAAAGTACCTTAGAGGACACGTTGAAGTCGTTGTCACAGATTTTCGGTGAGCGGTCATCACTGTTCAATACTCGATTCCAGTGCCTCCAACTGTACAAACGGGAATCCGACGATTTCGTCACGAATTCCAGCATTGGTAATCGCGAGTTTGGGTGTCTTCAACTCGGCTCTCTCACAGAAGACCAGTTTAAATGCCTCATATGCATTTGTGGCCTCCAGATCCTCAAGGATTTGGATATCCGGGTAAGTCTTCTGTCTCAAGTGCAACAGAGCAGCTCAATCACCCGCCAAAAACTGGCTGCCGAATATCAAGCATTTGTCGATCTCAAACATAATTTGACCATGATCCAAGGCACTTCTACTACTTGCTCAGTCAATGCGGTCACAGCAGCTAATCCACATCCAGTTATGCGGCTCAAGCAAGCCCAAAGGCGAAATCCCCGCCCTCTCCGTGTGGCGTGTGGCATTTCCATCGGGATTGCACATTTCGGCAACATCGTTGCCAGAACTTTAACCAAGTTGGACGCCGTGATGGGTTCTGCTAAGCTTCAGCTTGTGTCAACAAGCCTGCCCACGCTACTGCCAATTAAAAGTGTTGTTTTAAATCATAATGCAAATTTAAACCTCAGTCCGTTGGCAATTCCCTGGGTCTGTTGGCCTCATTCCAGGTTAATGCAGTTCATCGCCGGAAATTTATTAATTTATTGCTCAACGGTCACGCATTTCGGCTACAAATCGACACTGCGTCAGATATCACCATAATCTCGGAGATACTCTGACAGTCACTTGTCACCCCCGCAATGCAGCAGACTTCTCAGTCTGCCACAAGTGCATGCGGTGGTCTTGTTAAGTTAATGAAGCAACTGCAATACTGTGTTTCCTTCCGCAGCACTTACATCATTGTTACTTTTACATCACCAAGTCTAATCTCATTCTCATTGGTCTTGACTGGATTGAACAACTTGGCTTGGTTGATTCGCCGCTCTGCCTTGGTTGCAGTCAAGTGCAGATTCGTGCTGCAGCTGCAAACTCTGTCAAGGACATTCTCCAGTGGTTTGTTCCGGTGTTCCAAGACGGCCTGAGTCGTTGCACACACACGCAAGCCGTGCTTTGTTTCCGTCCTGGAAGTCAACCAGTCTTCCGCCCAAAGAGACCAGTTCCGTATGCAGCCTTGCCACTTGTCGACGCTGAACTGAAGAGTCTAGAGGAACCTGAAGTCCTGACACCTGTATTCTACCCCACCTCGGCTGCTTCCCTCGTTGTGGTTAAGAAGCCGAATAGTTCGATTCGTATCTACGCTGATTTTTCTACCGGTCTCAACGCCGCTGTGATGCCGAACTGCTATCCACTGCCGGTCTCCGCTGATCTGTTCACCCTGCTGAATTGTAGCACTTCCTTTGCTGAGTTGGCTCTGACTGATGTGTACTTGCAGATGGAAGTCGCTCCAGAGTCGCGCGAATTGCTGGCGATAAACTCACACCGCAGTCTGTTCCAATACACCAGGCTGCCCTTTGGTGTCAAGACCGCACCGGCCCTGTTCCAGCAAACAATGAACGCAATGTTCTCTGGCATTCCTAGTACGCCTGGCTACCTGGACGACGTCATAAGTCGCTCACCGGCTGAGCTCCAAGACCGAGTGCGCGCTGTACTTGAACGCGTGCAGGAATATGGGTTCCGATTGCGGGCCGATAAGTCTCAATTTTTCCTCGAGTCAATTAAGTACTTCGGATTCATCTTTGATGCCACTGGTCGTCATCCGGATCCCAAAAATATTCATGCTTACAACTAAGGATTTATCACAACATCGGTCATTCCGTGACCTGATCAGCTACTACAGCGCCTTCCTATAGTCACTACATGACTTACGAAACCTACTCAACCGTCTGTTACAGAAGGATGTTCCCTGATGCTGGTCTTCCGCCTGTCAAAAGGCCCTTGTCCCGCTTAAGTCAATGCTGAGTTCGGATCTGCTGCTCACGCACTATGACCCGACACTGCCGATCGTCGTTGCTGCATATGCCTCCAATCATGGCGTTGGTGCCGTCATTTCGCATAATTATCCCGACGGGTCCGAAAAGACGACCATGCACACATCTCGAACGTTAACTCCCGCTGAGGATAACTATGGTCAAATCGAGAACGAAGCACTAGCCATCATATTTGCCATCAAGATGTTCCCCAGGCTGCTGTACAGTCATCATTTCACGATGCCGACCGACCATAAACCGTTGCTGTCAATCTTCGGTTCGAAGAAGGTCATTCCAGTCTATCCAGCCAGCCAAATTTATCGCAGGGGGTTAAGTTAGTTAAACCCTAGCAACTGCGATCTTCAGACCATGGTTCCTCAGGGGTGAAGAACTCGTTGAATCCAGAGTAATGGGAGTAGTTTATTCCGTATACAGAGGGCTGGAGAATAAGCAGGAAGAAGTTTGACTTCGGAGCGCACGACCGGCTAGGAGGCTAGCCGGATCCTAAGTGCGGGTTTAGCAGTAGGCGTCCCAGCGGCCAACGTGGGCGCTCATTGTCTGGGTCGACCTTGAAGGTTTTTGGCCAAGCAGACTGCATCGGCTTACGCGTGCAAGCCTGCTATTCGTTGCCGGGCCAATGGTCAGCTTA